GAACGAAAGAAAAAAACAGTGACCTGCAACGCAGCTTTCTTCAGTCAATGTAAATTAAGATTGAACTTATTTTCCTTCACCTTCTTCTGAAGCATTCTTAGAAGAATCTTCATTTTCCAAGTAGAGCAAATGATCAAAAACCAGTTACACATTGTCTTAAGATCAGGGGAGAGTATCACATATATAACGCAACTTGCCATCCCACCCGTTGCTAACGATGGGAAAAATGTGTATCTATTTATATGAGTATACAGTTGGCCCTTGAATTACACAAATTCACATGTAGGAGATTTCCTTCCACCTCTGCTACCCCCGAGACAGCAAGGCCAACCCCCCCTTCCTCCTCAGACAGGAACAAATGTGGAGATGATGAGGACAAGACCTTTCTGATGATCCATTCTGGCTTAGCCAACAGTAAGCGTATTTTCACCTCCTTATGATTTCCTTAATAGCATTTCTTTAGCTCACTTTATTGTACAGCATAAATATAAATACACATAACATATAGAATATGTGTTAATCGACTGCTTATGTTATCAGTAAGCTTCTGGTCAACAGTAGGCTATTAATACACATACTTAAGTTTTGGGAAATCAAGTTACACATGATTTTTCACTGTGGGGGGGTTGATACCCCAGTCCCCATATTATTCAAGGTCAATATATTTATGTACACACTGTGGTAAAGAACACAGACACACACACACATGCTCTTCCATGCAGCCCATATTATCTGTCACAGATAAACCCTGATCTTGACACTACCTGTCAGGAAGTTAATAAATTAAACTTGCCTTCCCTTTGTAGTGGGGCTTAGTGAAGGTGCTAAGGGGACACTGGGGCAAATACATGAGCTGTCCAATTTCATCAGCATCAAATAAAAGACAATGGGCACTTTTTGAGCACTCCAGTCAGTACACCATGGAGGACAGAGAAAGCAATACCACGTGGCCCAAGGCTGTAAAGAGATCACAATCTGGCTAGCTGTGGCAAAAGTAAAAGCTAACCACCACAAGACTTATATCACAAAGCAAGGATTCCAAGACTGCCTCTAGAGTAGAGCCAGAGATAAGCAAAAATGAAGGGGTTAAAACAGAAAGAGGGGAACAGGAATCAGAAGGTACCCCTCTTTCACTGAAGATGCATTAATGGAGTGCCTGTGTGGGCCACTCTGCCAGTGCGGTGAGGTGAGATGACCGGTGGCCACCTGATTCTTAAGGAGCTTGGCGTAGTGGGGCCGACGGCCAGGTAGACAGCTCTGCCCCACTCAGGCTGTGCAGGAGGGGGGAGACAGTACCGGGGGGCACTGGGAGCTGAGGCAAGAAAATGATAGAGCAGGAAGATTTTAGAGAAAAGGGGAAATGTAGTGAGTTTTAAAAGATTAATTAGAATATATAAAGCACCTGGCCTGAGAAAGGGATGAAGAAGCTTTATGACCTGACCAAAAAAGTGCACAAAGGCTTGGGGTGAGGAAAGAGCAGAGGTGCCAAGGCCTTGTGGAAGTACAGCATGAGGAGTGTGCCCTGGAGGCCCAGACTGGACAGGGGCTGAAGTGAACGCAGGTACCAGACATCACGAGGTCTCTTATGCCACAGTTAATAGTAATCCCCACCTGTAATCCTAGCACTCTGGGAGGCCAAGGCAGGTGGATTGCCTGAGCTCAGGAGTTCAAGACCAGCCTGAGCAAGAGCAAGAGCAAGACCCTGTCTCTAAAAATAGGTGGGTGTTGTGGCAGGTGCCTGTAGTCCCAGCTACTTGGGAGGCTGAGGCAAGAGAATTGCTTAAGCCCAAGAGTTTGAGGTTGCTGTTAGCTATGATGCCATAGCACTCTATTGAGGGTGACAAAGTGAGACTGTCTCAAAAAAAAATGAGTAAGCGTGTAAGCCAACATTCCCAAGGTGTCTAACAGAACACTGACCTTGGGATGTCAGTATTTCTTAAACTTTGGGCTTCTTGGCCAAACAAGCTTGAATAATGCTGAATTAGGCCCCATTAAACAGGTTTCTTTACTGCAGAAACATCAGGGCCCTTCATGAGCTAACATACATGTGACTCACCATAAAGTACAGGACATGCTGGAAACACATTTCACCATAGAGCCCCCTTGGCCACAGGGAACCTCTAGAGGGGCCAACAAGCTCTGACAGGCAGAGACAGAGGTAGAACAATTTTAAGTAGACAAAACCAGGAGTAAATGTGCCTCTCTGAAATGAAGGTCACTCTTTCTTAGGGAAAGCCAATTAGCGTTAGCCATATAATGCAGTAAAATGCTTACTTGACACCTGTATACCCCTCTGGAAACCTTCGTACAAGGTTCTGACATCATCATAGAAGTACACCAAGGGCTCATCACTGTCGAGCAGCGTGGATCTTCTAGCACCTTCTCCACCCTATTGGAAAAGACAGACGGGGAGCATGTTAGAGGAAAGTATGCAAAATAAAGAACCCACAGCATGGCACTTGGGTATGTGCACACGCTGCTGAGCAGCTGAGGCCACCTGATGGACGTTTCCATTCCCTTGATGCTCAGCACTAGGTGGTGGTGAGAACGCTTAACATCTCATAAGTGTATCATACATACATTTCCAAGTGTATGATTGTTATTAACTACAGTCATCAAGTATAGTCAATATGGTGTCACTATTGTTATGAATAATAGATCTCTTAAAGCTATTCTTCCTATTGTACACCATAAATAATGTGTATATAATTTGCATTTGTCCATTAAAAATAAATATATACAAATTTTTAAATTAAACTAAAAAGCCTAACATGCCCCATGGTAACCTCACTGCTGCTCCAGGCCTGCTCCCCCATGCAGAGCAGCTGCTCAGTGAGTATTTGCTCAGGATTTGCTGTGCTGATATATAATCAATCATTCATTCACCAGGGAATAAGTGCAGGCTACAGAGAAACATCACTGAGACAACACGGGGTCAGATGGAGCCCTGGGAAAAGGAAACAACTGAAGGAAAAAAAAAGAAAAGAGGCTCACAGACCTACAAGCTCTGGTCCTGCCAGACAGGGCTGAGGAGAACAAGAGGAGGATCCAACTGATGTCCTCAAACCAGGGCCATCCACGGCACAGGGGACCAAGCCTGCTTAGCTCTAGGGGAAATGACACGCCATTTGATTTTACTTCTATAAAGTTATCTATGTTCTTTTGGGGATGATTTCCA